GGGTTTGTTACTGAAATAACTCCACAGAGCTGAGTATCTTGTCACCAAGCCACCCTTTATTTACGCGTGGAGACTCCTTGACTCTGATCCAGCTCCCTCAAAGTGAACGGGATGTCTGACACTCCTGTTTCTCTCTATCAGCCAGGGCTCCCTGATTGAGGCTGTTATTCTGGTCCAATCAGGGAACACGTATTCGACGATGTCCACCTGGTGACGTTGTTACAATCACTACATCCCATCCCCCTCGGATTCCAGGACATAAGCTGGTTCTATTTTTTTGTAGCTGCTCCTGGGGCGTTTTAGCATCGGGTCAGGTTCCTCCAACTCTGCCTCTCATATGGATGGTATGTAACATGTAGTAGCTCACCTCTTGCGCCCAGAGTGTCTCAGAAGAAATTTATTTTCTTCTTCAGGCAGCAAAGGTGTCGAGGTGGTGACATCTGCTGTGTCCATATCAGATTCTGAGTTTCTTCTATGCTTGAGATAGGGAGAGAACACACGGGTTCCAGAACAGTTAGAAAGGCTGTTGAGCAACCGGGCATGTTTTATTCCCACACGGTTTGCGAGTTTGCAACTTTCATACGGTCCACTTGCTTGTTCAGGACTGTCACACCTGCCTGAACTTTATACATCACTGGACCCCTGACCTCACATCGACCATGCCCCTTACCCATGCAGCGTCATTCCCATGGTTCCTACACCAAACTTCGCCCTTAAAGTAAACAATCTCTCTCGCTTCGCAGAGTCTTTTGTCCAACATTGACGTTCCTGATGCCGTTTCACAAACCCCAACCTCCACACCCCACCAAGCTCTGGGAAGATGCGGTGTCTTCTCCCCATTAGCAACTCTGCTGGCGTTCTCTCTGTAGTTGCATGAGGGGTGGTCCTTTTAGCAAATAGGAGCCGGGACAGTTCGGTATCTAATGAAGCTGTAGGCTGTTTCTTTAAGCCAGTCTTCAAAGTTTAGACCGCTGTTCCTGCCAGACCATTGGATGATGGATGGTATGGAACTCTCCATATATGTCGAATACCATTCGACATTAGGAAATACTCTGATTCCCTACTGATGACCCATTATCTGTGATCAGCACTTCCAGGAATCTGTGTAGTGCAAAAGATGCGTGCAGTTTTTCTGTTGTCATCCCCATGTTTGGCAACTGAACTCTATGCATGTCCAGCCAATTTGAGTGGGCGTCCACAATGACTAAGAACATTGAGCCCATGAAAGGACCTGCAGTGTCAACATGCAACTAAGTCTAGGGTTTTTCCAGCCATTTCCAGGAATATCAGGGATCTGCTGGCAGTAATTTTTGTCCTTGTTGGCACTCTGGGCATTGCCCCACCAATGTGGCTACGTCTGCATCCAATCCTGGCCACCAGACATAACTTCTTACCAACATCTTCATTTTGGAAACCCCTGGATGATCCTGGTAGAGTTCAACCAGTGTCTGGCAGCGACCTTTGCTCGGGACAATCACTCTTCCACCCTGTAATGATATGCCATCCTTTACTGTGATCTGGTTTCTCCAGATCCAAAAAGGGTTCAGTTCTGGTTGTGATTTCCCTTTGGTTTCAGTTTTGCAAGGACCAGATCTTTTTGCATCCAGAGTCTCTCAGCCAGTTTCACCCCATCAAGCCTGTGCCCGATCCTTTCACTGCAATCAATGGGAAGTGTACCAGCTGCTTCTCATACGAGACTAGGACCAAAGTTGTACCCTTCCTCTGTAAACGTTCCCCGGTATAGGTCCACAGTCCAGCCAAGGTCTTGCATAAACTTAAGGGTTGGAGTACAGATCAAATTTTGTTAAAGACTGGTTCTACGATCACTGGAATGATCACACTGGTACAAACCTCCATTACAACTGGCTGACCATTGAGCCAGATGTTTATTTTGATTGGTTCTGATTTGGATGTTGCCAAGCAATTTTACTGTTCCAAACCAGATGTAGGTGGACTTTCTAGGGTGTGCACTCTCCTGGATAACAGCCTGTGAATTTTCTTACTCAATTCAGGCCTCGTGGAACCCTCTTGCTGCCTTGATACCACATGCCAACAGCAACTACAATGGCTTGCCAGCCCGGATCTTGAGGAAAATTTTAACCATTTGGCCAAGTCTTGGCTTTGTTTTGGGGTTTTGTTGTGGGCTGACCTAGAGTCCCTCTGTTCAGGATATGTCCTGAGTGAGGCTATGCAATTGTCTTCACCCAAGTGGCCCCCAAGCTCGGCTGGCCTGGTGAGAGTTTCCACTTTGATCGGAATATCCTGCAACTCATATGCTCCACTTGCCACATTTCCCAATGATAAAGCCAGTTGCAGTGCCTGTTTGAATTCCAGTAGGGCTTCAGCTCGTAGGTGCTTTTGCATGTTTACATCATTAATCCCACATCCAAAACAGTGTCTCAGCATCTCATTAAGAGTTAAACCGAAGTCACACACCTCTGCCAGTAATCTTAACCTCATCAAAAATCCCAGTATGAATTCTGCTGGTTCCTGAATAGCTGAGTAAAACCAATAGCATCTCAGAATTAGAGGAGGCTTGGTGTTGTAATATCCCTTAACTAAATCTGCCAACTCTTGAAAGGTTTTAGTATCTGGTGCTTCAGGGAAAGTTGGCTCCTAATAGCCAAAATTGCGCATCCACAATTTGTCAGGAGAATTACTCACTGCTTTTCATCTGCCCCGATGTCACTTGCTCAGAAATAAATGCATTCTTTCCACATACCGAACCTTGTCTTCGATGGCAGGATTGAGCAAGTCAAGCTTCCAAAGAACGGCATGATGCCAGAAATGTTTACCCCCAACTCAAAAACGACTGTTGCGTGTAAATTTCTTCAGGAGCGTGCTGTTCTTTCCTCGCCACTGAAATAACTCCGCTGAGGCCGGTATCCCATCACCAAGTCACCCATTATTTACACGAGCATAGTCCATGGGCTCTGACCAGTTAGGTTAGAGCTGGCTCTTGGAGTGAACAGAATGTCTGACGCTCCTGATCTTACCTGTCAGCCAGGGCTCCCTGATTGGACCAGATTAACAGCCCCAATCAGGGAACTCATATTCTGTGAGGTCCACCTAGCTGACCTTCTTACAATTCCTAATTTTCCTCTCAAAATTGGTGATGAACCACGTTCTTGAACTGCACCAGTCAGTAAGGTGTAGGACACTCACAATGCTGTCAGGAATTTTGGTCCTGTCTTCTGATCTAGCAACACTGAAAGAACAGTGATGCCATTCCAAGTCAGGATGGTGTGTGGTTGGGAGGGTAATTTCCATGTGGTGCTGTTACCATGTGCCTGCTGCCCTTGTGCTTGGGTCATGTATTTCGAAGGTGTTTTTGAAGGAGCCTTGATGAGTTTCAGCAGTGAATCTTGTAGATGGTACACGCTGCTATCACTACTCACCAATAGTGGGGAGAGTGAGGATGCCAAGCAAGCGGACTCCTTCTTCCTGAATGGTGTCAAGTTTCTCAAGTGTTGTTGAAGCTGCACTAATCCGAGTAAATTGGGAACATACCGTCACACCCCTGAGTTGTGTCTTGCAGGGAGTCTGGAAGCAAGTTGCTCTCCACAGACTTCAAAGTCCTCTTTTTGTAGCCACAGTGTTTATTTAGCTGTTCCAGTTCCACTTCTGGTCCATGGTTATTGTGTAAGGCCTTCAGGACCCTGGAGCTACCTTGTGATGATGTCATGGAACTGCTCCCCACTGGGCATAAATAACACAGGGAGGGCGAAGTTAAGAAAGAGGAGAGGAAAGAAAGAAATGTGGAGCAGACTAACTACATTAGGCAGTAGATATTTTTGGAATTTTTTTTATTAAATGACTGAGATTAGACACAGGTATAAATTTGAATACAGTGTATTACAGTACCTAGTCTTAATAATTAATGAACAGAGTTACGATAAAGACGAAGCCAGAAGACTGTTTCTGACCTTGCCCTCTGCAAGCAGTCTGTCGTGAACCCAAACTCATGGATGTGTGTATAAAACCACACAATAAATTAATGATAACTCCCCAGGAGCATGAATTCTTCTGCACTCAAATAGTTAGTCCTTCAGGGGGTGAGAGGAGAAAATTGGATGGAAAATATAGCCTAAAATTCATATAACTTTGGTGGTAGACCGTACTATGTCTTGAGAACAGTCTTTGATCTCAGCCAGACGTTTGGGGAAGAGCAAGAAAGGAGTTGATTGTAAAGTTACCAAAAAAATGCATTGAGATAAAATGTAGTTTATTTTATTATAAACAGTGAAACTGTGTGTTTATTTTAATTGGAGAGAGAGACAAATGACTGATTACACATTTGCTGAGATGTTCAATCTTTAGAAAGGCTGTTAAACCCAGAGTGGCAATAACCTTCTTCGTGGCACTTAAATCAAAACAAGAAATGCTGGAAGCACTGAGGAGGCCAGACAGTATCTGAGAGAAAGGAGATAATTAATGTTTGTGGTGAGCCTGCTTTGGAACTGATGAACAGCATGTAAGAAAGACCAGAACAAAGGAAGAGAGACACATATCTATACAAGCACACATCTGTGAAATACTTTGGTGGGACGCAGGGGAGAGGAAAATAGTTCTGGTTCTGTTACTCTAACTGATAACATAGAATAGCACCCCATTTTCAGTTTAAACACACTTCAATAGTTTGGTTTTAAATATTTCAATAACTTTATAACTTCCACTTTTACTTCAGTAAGAAGTGTTGATGTTGTAGGAAAGGAGACTGCCTGTGGGGTGGGGGAGTCAGGATTTTCTTTCTAGTTTATCATAATTTGATACGTAAGACAATGTATCTTGGTCTCCATGACAGTGTGGGTGGCTTAAAGGTTGTAATGTTTTCAAGTCTGTGGGACTAATGTAGATTTCAAGTAATTATTTGTCGGGGCAGGTTTAATAGGCTGAAGGGCCTCCTCTCTACTGTATGATTCTGTGGTTCTGTCATCTTCTAAAGTTAGCCTGAGAGCTACTAACACTCAGAAAATACTCTCCCCTGTTTGTCTTTCCAGGAATGGACTGATGCATTATTCAGCCTGGCCACTAACCTGCTAGCACAGAACAGATCAAGAGACACTCTGTTGCACAAAGTGTAAGTTTGATCATTGTCCTTTTTATTTCTACTGCTTATGTTTCACTGGTTTCAATATTTTCTGAAACATTGCCAACATCACAACTGTAAAATTGCTGTACCGTTATCCCTACAAGTGAATCAGTACCATGGGATTTAGGTCAATCCATCTCACAGACTAAATTCAGGATTGTAGATTTTGGCATTGTGTGACAGCAGTAAGCATGTTGCCAGCCTTTACACTTCCTCTCTTCATTGATTTCATGTCTGCCAATTTGGTGTCTAGATTAGTGGCTGCTAGGTTTCTTTGTCTATAACTACAATTAGGCTTTATGATCAGTGCAATGAGATCTAACTTGAATTGAATAGAGTTGAATTGAATTAACTTTATTGTCAAATGAGTACAGTGAAAAGTTTACAAGTCGCCTCTAACGGCACCATGTAATTCCTGGAATATTTTGGGGGTCTGGCTAATTTGGACATTTGAAAGACAGGGTATTTTCCCCGGGGTGTGTGAGTCCAAAACTAGAGGGGCATAGGTTTAAGGTGAGAGGGGGAAGATTTATAAGGGAAGTAGGGGGCAGCTTTTTCGTGCAGAGGGTGGTCCGTGTATGGAATGAGCTGCCTGAGGAAGTAGTGGAGGCTGATAGAATTCCAACATTTAAAAGGCATCAGGATGTGTATATGAATAGGAAGAATTTAGAGGGATATAGGCCAAATGCTGGCAAATGGGACGAGATTTATTTAAGATAGCTGTTTGGCATGGATGTGTTGGACCGAAGGGTCTGTTTCCATGTTGTACATCTCCGTGATTCTAATAGAGCATTTCAGTTTGACACATTACATGTGACAGGACTAACAGACACAAAATAATTGGTCTAGAGGTGGGAAAAATTATGACAGTGGGGCTGTGCCAAGCAAGGCTTATCTTGGCTAAGGATTGGTGGCAATCTTATACTTTTGCATTTTAAAGGAGGTATTATCCCAGTTGATCTATCGCCCAGTTTTGTAGCTGTTCAAACATCAATATGACCACCAGCAAGGCTCAAACTTTTCAGGTTTCTTTTTGCCCCATATTTTTGGAAACTTCACCCCCATTTAATCTGGTTCCCCAGTGAATGAGGAAAACTATGATTCATACAGTCCATTTCATGAAAGGTTGTTTTAACCTTGACTCTGGGTCAGTCTTGAAGCAAGAGTGGGTTTTCTCATTCATCGCGCTATTGCTATACATGGATTAACTGGGAGCAAACTATCATAAAAACTCCTGCAAATCATATTTGACAAAAAAACAAGGCACTGAACTGAAATCACATGGGGTTAGGGGAAATATGTTAACTTGGGTAGAGGATTGGCTAACCATCAGAAAACAGAGATTCAGGATAAATAAGTCTTTTACTGTTTGGCAAGATATAATTGGTGAGGTGCCACAGAGTTCAGTTCCCAGGCCCAAGCTATTTACAGCTTATACTAATTAATCTATGTTATCTATTTGGATTTGGAGCTAGAAAGTGTTACAGTGAAATTTGTAGATGATGCTAAAGTAAGTGGGAAAGTAAGCTGCAATGAAGAAATAAGAAAATTACAAATGGATACAGATAGTTAGATGAATGGGCCAAAATTTGGCAAATGAAGTTAAGATGGATAGGTGTGAGCTTATCTATTTTCGTCAGAGGAATAGAAAAGCAACTTATTATCTAAATGGCAAGAAACTTCAAAGTGCTTCAGTGCAGAGGAATCTGGGTGTCTTCATGCATGAATTGCAGATATTTCATATGCAAAGCAAACGGCATTTTGATATATATTGCTAAAGGAATGGAGTATAAAAGTAAGGAAGTGTTGCTGGACCTCAACTGTACAACACATTAGTGAGACTGTACCTGGAATATTGTGTGCAACTTTGGTCCACTTACTTGGGGAAGCATGTAGTTACATTGGAAGCAGTTCAGAGGAGATTCATTTGATTGATTCCAGAGATGAGACATTTGCCTTATGCAGAGAGATTGAGTGGTTTAGGCCGATATTCTCTGGAGTGTGGAAGAATGGGAGGAGATCTAATTGAGGTATATAAGATGCAAAATGGGTTTGCCATTGTCGACGTAGAGAGGATGCTTCCTTTTGTGGGGCAATCTAGAACAAGAGATCACCGTTTTAGGATAAAAACAGAGATTAGGAGAAATGAAAGGGGCAAAGGGTTGTGAATCTGTGGAATTCACTACCCTAGAGTGTGATGGATGCTGGGACATTCAGTAAATTTAAGGAAGAGACAGACAGATTTTTAGTTAGTACCCAGTTGAAGGCTTACGGAGTGTGGGCAGGAAAGTGCATTTGACGCTATAATGAGATAAGCCTTGATAGTATTAAATGGTGGAGCAGGCTGTAGGGGCTGAATTTCCTTCTCCTGCTCCTAGTTCTTATGTTCTCAAACTGTAGTTTGATCAGACCGACAGACATGAAGATGCAGCTTGACAAAGACAGCCTTGTTAAGAGACTCACAGTGTATTTCCAATGGCTGTAGAGCAATAAGGGACAATTCACAGAACTTTGGAATGAGTCTTTGCTTCCAAGTCACTACCAAACAAGAGAGGGTTAAGGTAAGCAAAAGATCATGTTAAAATCATGGTTTGTGACCAAAAAGCTCACTGATGGCTCTGAATGAGAGTAATGTAGTCAGGGCAGCCAGGAACATTGTCTAATTTATCAAGGTGAGCACATTTGAATCCTTTATAAAGTTTTCTCGTTGGAATGAAGAAATAAATTGCACCAATTGGACGAGAAATTAGACATAGTAAGCCCAAAACATAAGGGAGGCAGGAACAGTGTTGTATAACACAGACAAAACCCAGTAAGACTTGAAGCTGTCGGAGTTCTGTAAATTTATCTGCATTGGCCTTTCTCCTCACCTAACTGCAACTAAGGAAATGGCCTTAACTCCATTCTACAACAGAGGACAATTATCATACTTTGCCCGTAACTAAATAACATGTCCTTTGATTAGAACTGGAAGATTAATATATCAATCTATGTCAAAGAATCATAAGGTCAGAAGTCACGCGACACCAGGTTATAGTCCAACAGGTTGATTTGAAATTACAAGCTTTCAGAGAGCTGCTCCTTCGTCAGGTGACTTCACTCCAAAAGCTTGTGTTTTCAAATAAACCTGTTGGACTATAACCTGGTGTCATGTGATTTCTGACCTTGTCCACCCCCAGTCCAACACCAGTACCTCCACATCATAAAATCATACAGTCTAGAAAGGCCTACTGCCAAAAATACACCAAATTTACACTTTCCCCGCACATGTTATAACGCTTCAAATGCTCATTCTCAAACTTTTTCCAAGGTTGTGAGGTTATCTCTCCCAACTACCCAGTGCATTTCAAACCTTTACCACCCTCCGGGTGAAAACGCTTTGCCTCAAGTCCCCTCTAAGCCCTGTACTCCCCCTCTGTCTTGCTCTATGTAATGTTGTCACACATATTAGGTTCACAAGCTGACTTAAAAATAAAATTCCCCTACTCAGTATAGTTTGGACGAGCTCTTGCCAGACTGCATTTGCTAAGCCTTTGCTGGCAATAACTCCAACAGTTGTACTGCAGGAGAATTGTCACCTTGAAGCAATACTTTAAATCACTGATTTGATATTGTGATCCTATCAGAGTTCTAGATGCTGATTAATAAGTTTATTCTTGCCAAGGCGCATTGCGATTGACACTGACAGATATAATTAGCCCTGTTTATAGACTGCTGTGATAATATTTGATTAGAATTTGAAAGAAAACTAAGTGGAATGAAAATATTGTGAGATGTGTGCCACTGAAGCTCTTAGTGTCTGTAGGACTCCTATGGTGGGAACAGCAATGATAAATGCAGCACTTAAATTGTATTTCCGTTAGCGTCCTTCATATTTGGCAACATTGCATTTGCAAATGCATTCAACTCCGAATCTAACTAGCTACACCCTTAAGAAATCTTTGACCTGGACCTCATTTTTCTCGAAATAAACTCCCATTAATTTTTCAGGCTAATTACCACTTTGCAGTGCTCTAATGTCTTGAATGCACCAGTCACCGCTGGATCTGCAGCTGGTTCTGTACTTCCTCCATACCATCACAGTGAACAACACCTGCTGCCATTGGGTAGTCCCAGTCAACCCACAATCAGCTTCTGTTTGATGAGACTGCTGAAGTATGCCATAAGCAATTCTTACTGCCATTACAACTGCTGTCGCTCTCCTATGTGCCACATTTTTAATCTGAAAGGGACATTAAGGGCGTCATTCAGCATCACAGTACAATGGAAGGCACACTTCATGGACTGGCTTTCACACTCAATTACGGAAATGATGTACTAATTATATCATACATACGTCGCATGTGAGATGCATACACAAGATGCTAAATACATCCAATTCACTTGGGGGATAGGAGTTGTAGAGTTCGTCATTTGGTACCACAGAATTTTGAGTCGTAGTTCATTAAAGCTTTTTGTCTTGCACTCGTCAGGACAATTTGCAAGAATACCAATTTAAGGAGAAACCTAACATATATACTATGTGAGAGGAGAGCATTTTAGTGTCGGTTTTCCCTTGAATCGATATTTTTGCAAATTGCCTCACTGGAAAGACTTGCAAGGATGTTGCCAGGAATGGAGGGTTTGAAATATAAAAATAGACTGGAAAAACCAGGGCTTTTTTTCACTGGAATGTGGGAGGTTGAGGGTGACCTTATAGAGGCTTATAAAATTATGAGGGATGTAGATAAGGGTCTTTTCCCTAGGCTTGGAGAATTCAAGACTGGTGGCATATTTTTAAGGTGAGAGGAGAAAGATTTAAAAAGGACATCAGGGGCAACTTTTTTACGCAGAGAGTCTTTTGTGTGTGGAATGAATTGCCAGAGGAAGGGTGGATGGAGGTACAGTTACAATGTTTAAAAGACATTTGGATAAGTACATGAACAGGAAAGGTTTGGAGGGATATGGGCCTAACACCATATACCTTATCCCTTAAATGCCTTTATTTA